TAATATATAAATTATTAATATTTTATTATAATCTCGGTGATCGGAGATGACGAGGAGTCTATCGGGAGTGGTTGTTGAGCATGACGAGGACGAGAGAGGATAGTCTTAGCTAGTCCCATGGTTATTGGGGGGTCTCGCTAAGACCTCTTAGTGAAGGGTTTTGTCCATGCTAGTCCCCTTTAGTCTCATTAACGTTAGTCCCAGCATGAAACAAACACAGTATTGGACTAACACCTACTCCAGTCCAGTCCAGTCCCACTTAATGAGGGCAAACAAACGCCCCCTTAAGTTGTAATAAAGCAAGCACAACAGTAAATGTACAGATCAACCGGTAGGCTAGGGGTCTACGGCTAATTAAAAAGACATGGGATTTTAATTAAGATAAATGGAATCTTAATTAAAGTATCAAACTAATTAACGTGCAAAGTCCAAAACTATACGGTCAATTTAACACAGACTTACCATATGAATACATATGCACGTTAAATTTACTTGAGTAATTTCTTTAAAATGATTTATATTCTTATAATTAATAGCACATGAAATAAACTTAGACTAAAATAAGTAGAACTGAAAACATGATTATTTTAAAATATTATAGACTTAGACTTTTTGCTAGAAATTGTCAATTTTTCAGTAAAAAGTCTTCTTTTTAGCTTTAAATTCCTTTCTTTCCTTCATCGTGCAGAGGTTTGCTTGGAAGACAATTGGCCATCTTTTTACCCTTTTGACTATTCTGTCTGTAGTCCCAAACTTAATTAGTAAGTGGGAAATTCCTTTTTTTTTTTTTTTTTTTTTTTCAAGGGGTCTTTTGATATGGGCTGTTCTAAATTTCTACACATATTTTGAATGGAAATTACTAGTATTACGCCTTATAAACAGGGTTAGTAAGTAGACCACATCTCCACGTTAGATATTTAGAACATGTTTGGTACTCTACTTGAATCCAACTTTTTAAACGCAAAAACAATTTTCAAGTTTTAGGCCTTAAAAACTTGTTTGGTAGGACTATTTTAAAAAACTTAACTCAAGACTAACTCAAAAATATAATCTATTATCTAAAAACACAAAAAGAGAATTTTAGAGTTTTTAAACTTAAACTCACTTTTTTTTTTTATCCCTCCTCCCCTCACTCCAAATCTATCCCTTTTCTTCTTTCTCTCTCCCCCTTCTTTTTTTTTCTTTTTTTCGTCTCTCCTCCAATCCGCTATCTTCATTCTCTCGGTTCTTTCTCTCACTCATTTTCCTCTCTATCTCCTCCGATCTTCTCACTTCTTTCTCTTTCCTCCAATCATCTCTTACTTTCTTTTCTCATCTCTCCTCTTTCTCTCTCGACCCTCTTTTTATGGATCTTTTTGTCCAATTTAAGTTATAAGATTTAAAAATTTTAAATCGCATACCAAACAAGTTTTTAAGTCTTAAAGAAAATTGTTTTCAAGAAAAATTCTTAAGAAATGTTTTGAAAAATTATAAAAATTTTCAAATAGGATAAAAAACAAGCCCTTACCTATCCTTGATTTTCACACAAATTACATCACGTGCCGCTCAATTGTTTATGAAATGAGTTGTCAGATTTCAGAAATTTAGGGGAGTTTATCCAAATCCTATTCGGACGATTACTTAGAAAATAAAATAACTTTCCGATTATGGTGTTTTTGAGATTCAAATTCGAATTATTAAGTGTGGGATAATATTTTTACACTTCTTTATAGCCTTTAAATTTTATAACATCCAAGGATTCTTATTTATTCATTAACTAACTTGATGCTTATGTAGATTTTAACATTTTTTTTTTCGCTAGAAAAGAAAATCAATTAAACGGAAGAACCTCAAGTACAACCAGTTCTAGAAGCATCAAACAGAAGAGCATTAGATGCTTCCACAGGGATACAAGCATCCCAAATATGAAGGTTATCCATCTTAATACCAACCAAAGTTAAGGCATCCGCCACAAAGTTTGCTAACACATAGTTCTATATAACTTCCTAGAACGAAGAGGCATACAACTTGATATCTTCTAAATGGATCTTAAATTCCATGGAATCTCGCACTTTCCTTGGACCACATCAATGATAAGCTTGGAAGCACCCTCAACAATAATACAACTAAATTTTTTCCTTCTAGCCCAAGTGATAGCTTCCCGAAGCGCCAAAGCTTCAGACACATTGATGGTATTCGATCTCAAATTTAAAACTCCAGTCGGAAGAGGGTTCCCTTGATCATTTCTGATAACAAAACCTAGATTTTAACAAATATTAAAGATAAAAATAAAATTGAAAAAACATAACTATGAAAAATTAGAAAAAGGAAAAAACCCTAGTTGTAATCGTGAAAACAAGAAAGGAGGTATGCAACCTCCATCTCCCCCTTTGTCGATGAGGTCTGCAACTTCTATGCCCTGGATTGATACAAAATTATGATGCCTTCTACAACGAGTCAAGATATTAGTCTCTTGAATCTTCATGAAGTAAGCAAAACAAAACGCTACAACAAGTCAAGTTATTAGTTTGTTGAATCTTTGTGAAGTAAGCTAAACGCTAAATTCTATATTATTGTTCATATATGTAGGGTTTGCAAAATCCTTTTAGTTTTGTCAGTTAATGTTTTTGATGATTTTTCTACTCTTTTAGTTTTTCAAATCAAACAAACAACTATCTCAATACGTTATGCTCGGTTAGCTAATCCCTTGGGCCCCATATCGTGCCCTAGTATTTTTGTTAGCTAGTGAATTTGGTTAGTCTGTTCCAATTCTTGAGCAAAACAAGTTCTACAAATTTTATGTGCAAACTCCGATCCACCACTCATTATTGAGTCGTCCGCCTATAGCGAATTAGTAATATTTAGGGAGAATCATGCAAAGAAGATTTTTTATTTTATTTTATTTTCTTGTGATTATTAGGGTTGTATTTTACATCATGAAAAAAGAGATTTCATCGAGAGCATTGCAGACCTCATAGGCAAAGAAGAGATTTCATGTTTTTTTGTTATTTGGGTTCAAAGTCTGATTATTTGTTTTTAGATTACAGCTAGGGTTTCTTCCTTTTTAATTTTATTTTGAATTTTCCAGATTTTATGTTTTTTCAATTTTATTTTTATCTTTAATATTAGTTAAAATCCACATAAGCATTCATGTCATTTAATGAATAAATAAGAACCCTTAGATGTTATAAAATCTAAAAGCAAAACAACGTGCATATGGTTCACACATATTTACAAGAGCGCTGCTAACGAAAACATTCTCTTCCATTCCATGTCTGAGCACAAACCCATGAATCACTCTTCCCAAATTCAAATCTTTCAACTCCGAGCAAGCAGGTAGGATTGAAGAAACTGTTACTACACTGGGTCTCACTCCAGTCTCCATTCAACCCCATCTCACGAAATGCCTCCGAACCTTGTCTAGGCATCCCGCAGTTAACGTAACAAGAACACAAAGAGGTCCAAGACACCACATCTTTCACCATCATGCCATCAAAAACTCGTCTCGCCCCCATCAACATATCTACATTTTCCAAACATATCGACCCACTAGTACAAAACATACTTGCGCGTCGGAGCAAATTGCATCGCGCAAAGTATGTTTGCGCAACGGTGACAACAAAACGTCAGGCAAACGTATTTTGTGCAATGAAATTTTGCGCGACGAAGACCGACGTCGCGCAAAACAGCTTCGTGCGATGAAGGAGCACCTTTGGTGGCGCAAAGTTGGGAAAAAAGGCGGTAAAAGTCTTGGTTTGGCGCCAAAAGCTTGCGTGACGCAAAGGCCTCGTCGTGCAATTGTCCTTTGCGAGACGTAGGTGTGCATTGTTGAGCAAAATTTCTTTGCACGACAAAGACTGCCGTTGCACAAAACTGCTTTACGTGACGAAGGTACACCTGCGTCGCGCAAAGCTATTTTGTGCAACGAATGCACACCTACATCGCGCAATCGTGTAAAGGTTGTGGTATCCACTTGTGTAAATATTTTAAATTGAAGATAGAATTCACTCATTGTATTCATATAGGGTCAAGGAGTGTAGTGTAAAAAAATCATCAAAATCGGAGTTAAAACTACCGCTAAATCGTGATTTTTAGTTTATAACCGTCGAAAAATTTTGTCCTGTTACTTTATCTCTGAATGTTTGTTTTTTGCGGTTTTTGACATATGCGATCTCGAAGCATATACAAACATGTTTGACGGTTGGATTGTTGAAACTAATTTCGTAGAATGCGTATCTCATCAAAACAATAACACTTAAGAGTTTATTTGTACTTTCATTAAGTATAACATAAAATTTTGTGGTATCTATTAGTGTAAATATTTTAAATTGAAGATCGAGTTCATTCATTGTGTTCATATAGGGTCAAGGAGTGTAGCTATAAAAATTATTAAAATTAGAATTAAAATAACTGTTAAATCGTGATTTTTTGTTTATAACCGTTGAAAAGTTTTGTCCTGTTACTTGATCTTTGAATGTTTGTTTTTTGCAATTTTTGGCATATGCGATCTGGAAGGATATACAAACAAGTTTGACAGTTAGATCTTTAAAATTAGTTTCATAGAATACGTATCCCATCAAGTTGAATGATATATATATATATATATATATATATATATATATTTATTTATTAAGTAGTTTTAAATTGATTTATTTTGTATGTATAACACTTAATAAATTGAATTTTATATATATTTATTAAGTAGCTTTAAATTTATTATTGTAGTTCGTATCAGATTTTTGTTAGAAAATTATATTATTATGGGTTTTATAAAAAAAATTGAATTTGAAAAGAATAAAGTCAAAATTTCAATAAATTTTATAATATATATTTTTCTAAATATAACTTGGGTGACACCATAATAGACTTGTTGCGCAAAAACACTTTGTGCGACGTCATAATGTGTACATGCGTCGCGCAAAATCACCCAAATTATGGCGGTGCAGTTGTAAAAAATAGGCGGTTTTTTTTTAAATGTTCTCAAATTTATACAAAATAGGTCTCTCTTCCCTCCATCTCACTCGGTCTCTCTCTTCCCTCTCGCTCCTCTCTCCCACTCCGTCTCTTCCGTCTCTTCCGTCTCTGCCCTCTCTCTCACTCCGTCTCGCTCTTCTCTCCCACTCCTGTGCACACCCGCCAAACCGCTGCCCCTCGTTTCTCTTCCCTGGAAGATCGTGTTGCTTCCTTGAGGCCATCATCGCCTCTTTACCTTCACTCGAGGCCTTCAACGACTCTCTTACAAAATTAGGGTTTTATTTGGTGCTAGGTTCATTCTTCTAGAAAAACAGGTTAGGAATTTGTTGTTAATTTAAGTGTAATTTAAGTTTCTGTGAAAATATTAGTTCTAAAATTAGGGTTTTATTTGGTCCAGATTTCAATTTTAGTTTGTGTATCAGATTTCAATTTCAATTAGCGGTTCTTTGAACTGTTTCGCATCTAGGGACCAAAATCCGCAGGGTGATGGGATATATGATATATTGGAGGAATTGACTGTGAAGATGAAACATTATCGTTTGTGATTGTCGATCCAACTTTAATCGTCTATGATATACATTTTCTCAAGATTCCTAAAAATACATAGTTAAGGACTGGATTAAAAGGGTGAATTTTCCTAAAACTAGACTGGCTGGTTTCTGGCAAGTCAGTGGGCATGTTTTTTTATTGAGTTTAGCTTCATCTTAGGTTTATGTGATGTATCGTGATGTTTGTATCTGCACCTGGAATCTACTTTCGTGCTAATTTAGATTTTGGTGCAGGTCAGCAGTTGTCTAAGTTATATTCTTTTGGTTGATCTACTTAGAACTCTTGATAATCTTAATGTTTTGTGCTGTATCTCCCCGTGAAGGCTATTATAACTGCCTAAGTTATGAGACCCATGTTGGCAATATTTATGTGGCTTTGCTGACAAATTGGCTATGGTTGAAATTTTGTTACTTAGCTTTGCTGACAAAGTGGCCATGCTGGGTTTGAGAATGATTAATCCACTTTCTGAATTTAATTACTTTGAACTTTGTCTAGTGTCCTTCCAAAGCATTTCATATGGGGAATGCTGACTTGGAAGCCCGGTGCTTTTACTTTGTCTAGTGTCCTTCCAGTTTTTGCAGAATATGTAGATGTTATCAAGGGAAAGGAGATTCATGGGTATGCTATAAGACGTGGGCTTGATGCAGATGTATTCATTGGGAGTAGCTTAATTGACATGTATGCCAATTGTACTTGAGTGCAAGATTCCCTGCGGGTGTTCAACCTGCTACCTAATCGTGATGCCATTTCATGGAACTCGATCATTGCAGGATGTGTGCAGAATAAATGTTTTAGCTCTAGTTGAATTGTGGATTCAGTTTAGGAGTTTTGGCATCTGTGCGTGGGTTACCTATTGCATTATGCCTTACTACATTGTAAATTTGTAATCAACATATTGGTTTTTCCTTTTCTTTGTCTTTGTCTTTGTGTTACCTATTTCTTTCTCCGCTGGTACATTTAAGAGTCTACAGGGAGAAGGTGGCTTTGGACCTGTGTACAAGGTAACATAAATTCATGCAATGAAAATTAGCTATATTGCTATACAAAATTTATGTCTTTTCGAAATGATGGTCCATAGGGTACACTGATAGGAGGAAAAGATATTGCAGTAAAGAGGCTTTCAAAGAATTCCGGACAATGAATGAGAGAGTTCAAAACTGAAGTTATACTCATAGCCAGACCTCAGCATCGCAATCTTGTTAAGCTTCTCGGTTGTTGCATTCAAAAAATGCGAAAAGATTCTAATAAATGAATTTGTGCCCAACAAAAGCTTGGACTTCTATATTTTTGGTACGATCCTTCATTTTCAATCTTATTATACTATGATTCAATGTGGCATCGAAATAATAGGTTTAAAGTTTCTTCAAATCAGGAGGGACAAAAATTGCTCGACTAGCCTAAGTGCTTCCACATTATCGGTGGAGTTGCTCGAGGGCTTCTTTATCTTCATCAGGACTCTAGACTAAGGATTATACATCGAGATCTTAAACCTAGCAATATTCTGCTAGATGACAATATGAACTTGAAGATTTCAGACTTTGGCTTGGCTAAAACATTCGGCGGTGATCAAAGTCAGGCCAATACAAACAGAGTGGTTGGAACCTTGTAAGCATGCTTAGACTTGTTTTGTGGTTTATAATTTACATTGTTCTACTTTTGAAATTCTCTCATTGGTCATTGCATATTGATTTGGCATTGGTTATATGTCTTCGGGATATGCAGCAAATGGAATTTTCTCGATGAAGTTTATGTGTTTAGCTTTGGAGTCATACTGCTCGAGATGTTGAGTAGGAAGAAGATCAGGGATTTCTCATCAAGATCACTACCACAACCTTCTTGGACATGTAAGTTTAACCAACGAGGTGATGATATTTTACAGTAAAAAGAATAGTGAATTAGATGGTGCTCTTCGAAGCACTTCTTGTAATGACATGCCATTTAACAGTGTTGAAGGTCTGCACCCTTTTACATATTAGGCCACTAACATATCATACATATTTCAATTTGTTTTAAGGCATGGATGCTATGGATTCAAGATAAACCACTATAATTGATCGATAAGATGTTTTGTGATTCGTGGAACATATCTGAAGTGTTATGGTGTCTTCAAGTCGGGATGTTATGTGTGCAAAGAGTACCTAAAGATAGACCAAGCATGTCATGTGGTTTTGATGTTGAGCAGTGATGTTGCCTTGCCGCCTCCAAAGCAGCCTGGTTTTTACACTGAACGAAGTGTCCCTGATACACCATTAAGGATGTTTTTTTGTTCAAACAATACTTTCAGCACTAAGTTGATAGAACCTCGATAGATCATCATTGCAGTGCTTGTTAGTCCTTCAATCTACCATCACAACACGCATTCGGAAGGTTGACATGAAGCTTGTAGTCTTGGCTGGGAAACAATGAGACATGCGATAATAACTTTGAGAGAAAAGTATTTATGAAAGTTTAGTAGTTCCTAGAGCACAATAGAGAAAGGATTTGGGGTTGTTAGGTGGTTGAAGAAAATTTACGTTATAGTTAAAGTTGAGTTTATTATTTCTTAATTAGATAATTTCATTGAGTAGGAAAGTAGATCATGCATATGTACATAGGAAGTTGGAGAAGCAAGACGAGCCTTGCTCCAACAACACTATAAACTCCTCTGAAGGAATGCCATATTTGGCTAAGATCACCAAAACGTAAAGCTTTATTGATTCCTTGAGGAACTCATGTCGCATGCGCGCTGATATTAGCACGGTCCATGCACTTAGTTCTGGTTTGGGTATTTTGATTGAACCAAAGGGGTATTTTGACATGGGTCTAAAGAAACTAAAAATTGGGCTTATTTTAAAAGTCAAAAGTTATTAAAAATTAGATCTATTTCAAAAATAGGTTTATAAAATTGGACTTATTTCTTATTTTCCCCTTGTAAATTGTTAGAATTAACACTCGAGTTTGGTTCGGGACGTTTGGTAGTTAGACTTGACCAAAAGATGTAACTTATGAAACATGTTGGATAAATAGCAACCATTTATGATAAATTTATATAAGCTAACAAATAATAAATGCAAACAACTAATTAACAGTGTATGAACAATGAAATAATATTAAATAGAAATATTGAAGATCGAGGCTTGCATACTGCAATGTCCTTGAAACATAAATTTCATCTCTACTTAGTGCTTGTAGTTCTACGGATGTTTGTTTCATCAGAATTCAACGATCAAGTTAGAATTCCAGCACCGGAAAACTTATTTATGATTGTAGAAGAAGAATGTGATTCAACGATCAAGTCAGAATTCCAGCATCAGAAAACTTGGCTTTTAGTGAATTTTTGTGTGGTTCTCAAAAAAAGGATATTTGTGATTGTATAAGAAGAATGTTGATTTTCTGTGTGTGATTGTAGAAGAAGAATGTTGATTTTCTATATTCTAAATATCATGCAAATGAATGTATATATAGTGGGATTATGCTTGTGTTTTTTCATTGACTTTAGACTTCATCTCAAGACCCATCTTTTAATAATTAATTATATATATTAATGATTAATTAATTATTAACTAATTAGTCCACACCAAAGCCCAACCTCAAGGTTGAACTCAATTTTATTCTCTATGGTTCATCACTCCAATCATTATCTATAAAAGACAAAACCTTATAAAATGAGGAAACCTTTTGAAAGTGACCAATATGAGGCAATAAAATTTCTACCTAAAATTTCCAACAAAACAAAAGTGAATAATTGCTTCATGATACCACAATTGGTGGAAAAACTTCAGGGCAGGTATGTGGACCCCATGGCTATCTTCCTCCACATACAAATGTCACACTAAAGTGTGGCACAAGTTTCTATCCATCGGTGAAGTGTTCGGATTTATCAGCTGCCGGTCAACTTAGTTTATCCTTTCACTGAGAACAACTTTTCAAACCAAGGAACCCGAAGTCTTAACAAAAATGCAAAAAAGATGGTGAAGGAAAAAGACACTTGAAAGACAGTTAATTTTTTCTTCTTCCAACTCCTCTGCAGAAATGTACAGTTTCAGAAATATGACAATGCAGTCCTTGAGAAGCATTTTTGTGTGTTTGTTCTTATTATCCTTCCTAAGGATCTCATCTGCAGCTACACTAGGCACTATCACTCGTAGTCAATATATTAGAGATGGCGAAACTCTGGTTTCAGCAGGTGGAGGCTTTGAACTGGGATTTTTCAGCCCTGGTAACTCGAAGGGCCGGTACTTGGGGATATGGTACACAGTTTCTGCTGATACAGTTGTTTGGGTAGCCAACAGAGAAACACCACTCGGTGATTCGTCCGGGTTTTTGAAGCTCAGCGAGCAAGGAGTACTAGTCCTCCTTAATAGCTCAGACAACATTGTATGGTCATCGAATTCATCAAGAACCGTGGGGAATCCAGTATCACAACTCTTGGATACTGGAAATCTTATTGTGAAAGACGGAAATGAAACGAACTCGGATAACTTCTCGTGGCAGAGTTTTGATTACCCTTGTGACACATTCCTACCGGAAATGAAGCTTGGTTGGGACTTAGCTAGCGATTTAGAGAGGTATGTCTCGTCTTGGAAGAGCACAGAAAATCCTGCTCCAGGAGATTTTTCACTACGGATAAGTCGTTGGGGCTTACCACAACTTGTTACTATGAAAGGAGCTAAGATACAGGCTAGAGGAGGGTCATGGAATGGTGTTCATTTTACAGGATATGGATCTAGTGGAATAAGAAACTCCAATCCATTACCTGGGGTTGAATTTCGGTTGAACAAGAATGAGGTCTACTATGAGTACAGGCTCCTAAACAGGTCGGAGTTCTCGAGATATGTATTGAACCCGTTAGGCATCACACAACGGTTCACATGGGTGTACCAAACACAGAGTTGGGAACTTTCCTTTACATTCCAAGCAGATCAGTGTGAAAATTATGCCTTGTGTGGTGCATATGCTACTTGCAATATCAACAACGCTCCAATATGTGCATGCTTGAAGGGATTTGCACCAAAATCTCCAAAAGATTGGAACTCGGGATACTGGTCCGGTGGGTGCGTTCGAAAGACTCCGTTGGCCTGCAGCCATGGAGACGGCTTCCTAAAGTATAATGGGATTAAATTGCCAGACACATCTACCTCATGGTTTAATAAAAGCATGAGCCTCAAGGAATGCAAGTGGTTATGTTTGGAAAACTGCTCATGTACGGCGTATGCAAATCTTGATATCAGGGTGGGAGGAAGTGGCTGCTTGCTTTGGTTTGGCAACCTCATTGACATAAGAGAATTCGCTATAAGTGACGTTCAGGACCTCTATATACGGATGGCAGCTTCAGAACTAGGTAGCTCCTAGACTTTATTTTTGTTTCTAAAGGTGCATAGAAAAATCACCATATATTTTGACATTAAAATGGAATGGGGTTTTGTCCACAGTTTATGTTTTTTTATTTTTTTCCTCCCCGAGGGGGTTCGATAAGCCAGCAGTTAGAATCAGCATGGTGAAAATCACTAAGGTTTTCGTAGATTTAGGTCCATAATAAAAGGCAGAACTACATGTTCATCCACCTGAAAATTAAGTGAGAAGCAGCATGGCTAAATGCAGCTCATAACATCAAAATTACTGCAACATGAGAGATTGCTCACCAAATCACACAAAAATTTTGTTTTGATTGGGATATTTCAGATCACTTTGTGAAAGAGAGCAAGTTCAACAAGAAAAAACTACCAATTCTCATCAGCTTCGCAGTTTTACTCCTGGGAACGATTATAGTTGGATTGATATTGTACATACGGAAGAAGAAACTCAGAAATGAAGGTAAAAATCTCAGACAAGGACTCCGACTTTTATTTTATTTCTGTATATATGATTATAAAATTCAGGAACAAAAATATAATTCAGAGTATCATGACATTGACAATGAAAAATGCAGTAGATAAAGTGTAACTAATTGCTCACATCATTTTTACCCGTACTGAAGAAATCTCCTACTGTTTCAGGAGTCAGAAGAAATGATTTCAGAAAAGAGTATCTTGGAGAAGACAGGGAGTTACCACTATTTGACTTGACCACCATAGCCAAAGCAACTGATAACTTTTCAAGCAGCAACAAGTTGGGAGAAGGTGGTTTTGGACCTGTGTACAAGGTAACATAAATTCAAGCAACTAAGATGAGCTACTTTGCTATACGTAATTTAAGACTTTTCGAAACGGTAATCCATAGGGCACATTGATGGGAGGGAAAGAAGTTGCAGTTAAGAGACTATCGAAGGATTCTGGACAAGGAATGAGGGAGTTCAAAAATGAAGTAAAAATGATAGCCAGACTTCAGCATCGGAATCTAGTAAAACTTCTGGGCTGTTGCACTCAAGAAGATGAAAAGATTCTAATATATGAATTCATGCCTAATAGAAGCTTAGACTTCTTTGTTTTTGGTATGATTCCCTCCAAAACCAAACATGTGGCTTTTAGATCATACCATCCTTCACCTTTTAAACTTATTTTACCAGGATTCAATGTGACACTAATTAACATGCTTAAAGTTTCTTCAGATGAAGAGGGACGAAAATTGCTCAACTGGACTAAGTGCTTCCACATTATTGGTGGAATTGCTCGGGGACTTGTTTATCTTCACCATGACTCTAGATTAAGGGTTATCCATCGAGATCTGAAAGCTAGCAATATTCTGCTTGATAATAATTTGAACCCAAAGATTGCAGACTTTGGCTTGGCTAAAATATTCGACAGTGATCAAAGTCAGGCCAGTACAAATAGAGTGGTGGGAACCTAGTAAGTATGATCAAACTTGTTATATGATTTATGTTTTACATTGTGTTGTTCTCTTGAAATTCTTTCTCACTGGTCACTGCAATTTGATCTGGCAGTGGTTATATGTCTCCCGAATATGCTGTAGATGGAATTTTCTCAATGAAATCGGATGTCTTCAGCTTTGGAGTTATACTGCTAGAGATGTTGTGTAGGAAGAAGAACAGGGGTTTTTGTCATCCGGATCACCACCTTAACCTTCTTGGACATGTAAGTATAACGAACGTGGTGCTCATATTTTACTTTAAAATAACATCTCGTCTAATGAGATGCCGTATAACAGTATAGACGGTAAGCAGCAATGCTCCAATCCCATGCAATTCTACTAACACATCATATGTGTTCAACTTTTTTTAAAGGCATGGATGCTATGGATGCAAGATAAACAACTGGAATTGATCGATAAGACTCTTTCTGATTCGTGCAATATATATGAAGTGGTAAGGTGTCTTCATGTGGGGCTGTTATGTGTGCAAAGAGTACCTGAGGATAGACCAAGCATGTCATCTGTGGTTCTGATGTTGAGCAGTGATGTTGCCTTGCCTTCTCCAAAGCAGCCTGGTTTTTACACTGAACGAAGTGTCTCTGAATCACCATCAAGCAAGCGTCAATGTTCAGAGAATGATGTCAGCATTTCATTGATAGAACCTCGGTAGATCATATCATTCTTGCGCTTATTGATGCTTCTGATCTGGCCGTTATCCTAAAATGTGTTTGGTAGTTTGACTTGAGCATGTGTGAAATTTTTTAAGGTGATGTACATATTGCATTTTGGAAATCGCCGGACTTAACACCAAATTTCTAATGTGTCAATCAATGTGCCATCTTCCCAATTTTTTTTTATTCTTTTTAAACAAACTATATTATCTAAATAAAAGAGAGAGGAAGGTGGGCTACAATAAGTTAGCAATAATGTGGTTCAAATTCGCTTTTGGCGAAAATCAAACCTAAGATCTCTTACTTACAAGTGA